AGATTTTGGGGGTGGAGCCGAGGGAGGGCAGAGTTTGGGGAGGGGACCAACCTCAGCATGGTCCAGTGTGCCACCATTTTCTCCAGGGGAGCTGATCTTGCTCATCGGGAGATCAGCTGCAACAGCAGGAGATCTCTAGGTGCCACCTGGAGGCTGCCAACTTAGAGACAGAAAACAAGGTATTAGCCACAAGGTATAGATAGGGGCTCTGGGGCGAGTGATGCTCTGTCTTCTTGGTGCTTGGGGGGGAGGGTCAACAGTGGGAGGGCTTCTGATGTCCTGGCCCCACTGGTGGACCTCCTGATGGCACCTGGTATTTCTGGCCATGGTGTGACACAGAGTGTTGGACTGGATGGGCCTTTGGCCTGATCCAACACTGGCGTCTCTTATGTTCTTCTATGGAGCAGAGGTCCATCAGTGGCTCTTAGCCACAAGGTATAGATAGGGGCTCTGGGGCAAGTGGTGCTCTGTCTTCTTGGTGCTTGGGGGGGGGTCAACAGTGGGAGGGCTTCTAGTGTCCTGGCCCCACTGGTGGACCTCCTGATGGCACCTGGTATTTCTGGCCACTGTGTGACACAGAGTGTTGGACTGGATGGGCCTTTGGCCTGATCCAGCGTTGGCATCTCTTATGTTCTTATGTTCTTAAGGTCTGTGACTAGCCCCAGGGCAGGCCCTCTTTATTTGCAAAGCAGGTGGGGCAGCAGTTCCCAGAATTCTGTGTGAAGAGATTTGGAGCCTATATGGGGGTGGGGGCATATTGACTCTTCCCAGCGGAATTACCAGGCCCGGCCCGGAAAACCACGTGTCCCACCACCACCGGCCCTGAAGTTCTCACAGGAACCACATCAGAGGCCCTTCTTAGAGGGTGGGGAGTCGTGCGGGTGTCTCTGTTTACCTCAGCCAGGGGTCCCTCCTCCTCCCTCCGCCCCAGGACTGCTCCATCTGGGTCTCAACACACACACACACACCGCCCTGTTTCTCTTTCTCAGCAAATGACAAGCGCTACTGTGAGGTTGGATTCAGCTCGGCCATCTCGGAGGTGAGTCTTGGAGGAGGGAGGGCAGAAAGGGGCCGTGCATTGCCTGCCCTACAACTAGGCCTGCCAGCCCTTCAGGTGGGCCCTGGAGGTCTCCCGCTACCACATCTGATCTTCAGTTGATCTTCAGCCAGTTTGGTGTAGCGGTTAAGTGCGTGGACTCTAATCTGGGAGAACCGGGTTTGATCCCCCACTCCTCCACTTGTACCTGGCTGGATGACCTTGGGCAAGCCGTAGTTCTGATAAGAGCTGT